GAGAAAAAATGTTTAGCTGCCTCCTCTGGTAGGAGGGTGTTCTTTCTGGGACACTGTCAGGAACTAAGGAGAAGTTCTCTTTCCTCTTTTAAACTACTTCAGCAATCAGAGGGAATAGATTCAGTAATTAAGCATGCTCAAAATGTTTCAAAGTGAGCTGACTAAATTAATTTCTAAACTTAACCATGTTAGAATAAAGAGCTGGTTGTGCATTCTCCTCTGCACTGTCCAGCACTGTAAATAAAGCGCTGCTCTAATTGTAGTATTTTCCATTACAGGAGAAACTATTTTTGTTTAAACTCCTGTTCATGATACCAACAATTTTCATAGAACACAATCTTGCCTTGCTTTTCAAAGGTTTTAATGATAGAAACACTGAGTCATTTTTGTAAGCTGCTCACAACTCCTTCTTTAGAGACATCCCTCACAATAGATATTCATATTTTAAAGTAATGAATTGCATTGCCATATCTTAAAAGTATTTTGACAGTATGAGTAAATGTTACATTATCCTAATAGGAGCAACAATAGCGGCAGAGAAATTACTTGCAGTAAAATTCAATTAATGGTAAAAACTAGAAGTAGGGTTTAGACCTACCATACCTCTCATCAGGTATCTAAGGATTAAGATATACAGGAATTGCACTAATCTTTCCTTTTCCAGCAAATTTCAATTTTCATATGGAAATGTTGGCCATATCTCCTACATGTTCAACTCTACTTCATGGATTGTCATGAGAACTCATGCTTCTGAGAATAAATCAAATATTGATATTAGCTACTAAATTGTAATTCTGGGAGTGGTAACTATTGAAGTCCTACTTACACCACAAGTCCACCTTTTAGAAAGCACAATGAAATTCTGAGGGAGTCTCCTGAAGTTTCCTTATTTTATTATTTAGCCTATGATTATTTGGGCACTTCAATAACCATCCATATGAATACCACTTTGTAAAAAATTTCCTGTAATCCAGAAGTTACACCTTTGTGAAACAGCCACATTTTTCTAAGACAATTTTGTAGTACAAACAGAAAGCTATTCTGCAGTGAAAATCAGCTTTAATTTTGAACCATCTACTATGCAACCGTTAAGCTGATAACAGAAGGTCTGCTGAGTAAACAGTCCTCTCAAGAGGAAAAATAATAATATGTAGAAGAATTTTTCACCATTTATTTGAGAAGGAGCAAGCATTCATGAGCACTCATGAATGCACACATGAGCATTCTTGCTTTGAAAGTAAAAGGAGAGAATAAATCCTATCTGGAATAGGAAAGAAAGTTTCAAAAGACTCTTCAATGAGTCTCTCAGCTAATGCTGTGGGAGACTCAAGAAGAAGGAGATGAATCTGGGGAATAAAAAGGAGACCTTTAATTAAACTCCTCAATCTCTGTGTATGTGTATGCATGTTACATATGTCTGCTGCTAGAATTACTTGCTCACTCCTTCATGGGTGTTGCTGTATTGCACGGTTCAAGTTCCCTTCCAAAAGTAAACTGAGACCCAAAAAATGCAATGGAGAAATAAACAAGAGAGAGAGAGAGACAGAGACAGACATTTGGTTGAAAAAGCTGCTGGAGGTCCCAGCCCCTAGGCAGCCCACGATGATCAGCTGTGTTGGAGGGCTGCCTTTGATAACACCCTCACACAAGTAACCATGCCAGAATTCATCCACTGACAGCGAGTGTAACCTGCTAAGGACTAGAGAATCTTAAAGATCAGGATGCTCACACTAAAATAGGCAGAATGCATGATGCAAGATTCACTGACAGTGACAAAAAAAGTAATTTTGGAAACATGCTTTCATGACCCTGATACCTTTTTTTATTCTGGTTGACCTGTAATCTCATTATGGATTGAAAGGGTAACATTGTTTAAAAGCTCACAGCATAAAATTGTCATCGAATCATCTTGTTTTGCACCAAGTAAATTGGTTTGTTGGTAGTTCTATAAATAGAAGGTGATGGTGAAACCTGAAGAACACTTTTTCTCCTACTAAGCAGTACTATAGTAAATAATGTAGGAATGACCTGAAATGAAAACCCTTGATATTTCAGCAGTTCTGAATGCCTTAGTACCTCTTCAATGCTCCTTAGTTTTAATAGCAAGTCTCACAATCTTTCCTGGAATTATGGGATATAATGTATGACATGTATAATGTATGTGTGTGTGTAGATAATGGAGGTACATATTAAAATGAAAGGACTGGAAAATGGCACACATTTGAGAAACCTAGAGAGAAAGACTAGTATTTAGTTGCAATTGGGGCAAAAATAGTAATTAAGCAGAAACAGGTTGTGGAGGAAAGGCACTCTTACCTCAGGAGACAATCTGCCCTACTTTCTTTTCTCACATTTTGAAATCTATGAATCTTTTACTTGCTTTATCACTTTCCTGATTCCCTACAGGCCAGAGCTGACAGCTAAGCCTCTGTTTTATCTTAAACTGTTCAAAGCATGTCAGAAAATGACTTACCCTGCTGAGCCTGAAAGTAGCAGGAACCCACCTACTGCTTACCCCTAGACCAGGTGATCACTGTTGCTTGAGTGAGATCTTGATGACAGTCCCAGAACAATTGGCAGATTGTTACAATATATGGTCTTTTACTGCTTCCAGTTGAAATCCAGAAAATTTGTTGACTTTTTTTGTTGTTGTTGTCTGTAGAGGTAATTATTTATGTCTTGAGCCACTCTGATATCAGCACAGATATCAGATAGCTTTTCACCCTGTGTTATTACCAGCTGTTTTGTATATGGGCAGGGTCACTGTCTGTAACTGTCAGCTCTGTTCATTCTGTAGGCTCTTTTCACTGTCTTTGAAAGCAACCTTTAAAAATCCTTTCTATTTTTATACCGTTGCACTAAGAATTAGCTTTAAAATACACGGTTGTCACTACACTTTGGCATGATAAAATGCAGGGATAAGGTGAGTGTGGCTGCATTCATGCCTCTAAAAATAGGACTCCACTGGAATTTCTACAGTCATTTCATTTTAGTAGGTGTTAACTTGTGATGAAAATTGATATACCTCAAGCAGTTCTCTGTGATCAAGCAAAATAAAGCAGAATAGGAATTGCAGACTATTTATTCTCAGCCTGTATAATGAAATAATACACTCATATGCTGCATTTAATCTTCAAAGTTTTACTATCTGTATTATCATCATAAGTAGCATATAAGTAAGTGGGATATGAGATTGTTCGGTTAAAATTCATCTGAATGCAGATGAACCTGCATTTTGCCATTCTCAGGAGGAAGATATAACACCATTCTTCACTGCTTTTAGCTCTTGTGAGATAATTGTTTCGTTTTTGCTAACTGAGGGGAAAAGTACCACTAATGCTAGGCACAGCTCCTTTTATTGTGATTTATTTAAGGTTATCTTTGGATTTTGTGCTGCTGAGAATGTTTGCAAGGAATTTGTTGTTGATGTCCTGTTAACAACCTAGAATGAATCTTTCAATTTTTCCCACTATTCTGAGGTCACAAGAGGTGAGATGTTTATTACCTTTAGTTTTGCACATCAGAAATTTCCTGCTTATTTTTGCAGAGTGGAACATTTCCCAAAGTCCCTCCAAAAACATCAGGGACATAATTTTGGATCTTTGTTTACCATATTGGCATATTGGCTTACCATAAAGCCTTCAATCTTCCTGTTAGGAAGCATTCTCTACAACAATATCAGTCGTTTTATTTTTCTTAAAATTTGATTATGTTGTTGGCACACTTTGACTCATTATACTGTACAAACAAAAGATATGGTCTCTCCAGTTTCCACTAGTAGCTCATGCAACAGTAGAGGTGTAATACCTTGAAATGTATACCTTGAATTAGGAAACAAATGTCAGTCATATGGTCTTTTTGAACTATTTTAGGCGCTTAGGAACTTAACATGAATTTTGTTACTTGATGTGATGTCTTTCTTTGCTCTTATTTTGCTCTCTCTTGGCCAATTTAAATGCCAGCTCGTTTCTGATTTTGGGGGATTTGTGAATCCCATGAATCCTTATCATGATGTTGTGGTAGGCTCTAGGGTACATAAGGATAGTGGGATTGAAAACACACTGGGTGAAAAAACATTGTTTTCTCTTAACTAAATACACATTGCATTGCAGAAATTGTGATCTGAAGACATGTTTCAGAGATGTGGTGAAAAATTTGGACAGAATTGCCTTTGATAGGGAGGTTGTGTGTAAACCACTGTTTGGTTATTTATGTCAGATAAGTAAACTTATCACATATTGTTAAAACATTTATAAAACCCAGAAAGGCAGTTGAGTCATTTTTGTGTCCTTCATAAAAACGCTGTTTATAGAAGTAGTTCCCAAGTAATTTCGTGGTCACTGATTATTGCATAATTGTGGGCCTTGGGTTGTGCTGAGGGCCATCATTTGAAAGGATTCAGCACCTTCTGAGAGATCTGCTGCAGGATAGCATCAACGATATTTTGGATGATTTCTCAAAAAGTACAATATGGTTGCAAACAGTGGATAGGAGAAAAGAAATAGGTTTTCCAAATGCAAATTACACAATATGAAACTTGGGGTATCTAGGCACGCATTTTTTGCAGTCACAGGATTTTCAATCCCTTTCTTCTCCACTATTAAAAAAGGCACAATAATATCCTAACTTTATGAAAGCATAGGAAAACAATTTCTGTTTTCAGGATATTTTGAACAAATACTGATGATATTGCTCTCCTTACTAGATAGACAGATTTGACAATGGGATGATGAAAGAAATGGTGATGAATGAAGATGACAAGCTACAGATTATAATAAAAGAAATTAACTCCAGCAGATACAAAATTCAGTATTGTGTAATATTGCTTGTCCAGATTTGTGATAGCTGCTGTAATTGTTTCACTGCAGAAGGGGTATCAGTGATGCAGTTAGCAAGGCACTGTTTTTGAAAATTTTTTTTTATATATCTTTGCTGAGCAGAAATGTAAAATAAAAATCTGTATTTTTAAATATTCATTTATTTTTCTTTCTTTCTTACAGCTTGTGGCCAATGCAATCCTTTTTGTCAGTGTAAATTTGTATGGGGTCTTTGTGAGGATTTTGACAGAAAGGGCTCAGAGGAAGGCATTCCTTCAGGCCAGGAACTGCATTGAGGACAGGCTGAGACTGGAGGATGAAAATGAAAAACAGGTCAGTTTCTAAGCCTTATTTATTTTTCTCTGTTTCTCCTGAGATGACTGTAGTTATGTGAACCATAGGTTAGGACATTGTTGCCAAATGTATGCTAGGGCATGTGTGCATTTCCATTGCAAAGGAAGTGCTGCATTCCCTCATCTGCTTCAGGTCTTCCTCCCCAGAGCATGCACACTCTTCATTCTTCATCTGCAGAGCTCAGAAAAGGTGCAGGCTGACTCCACAGCTACTGTCAGCTCTAGTGCCAGAGGGGATCTATTTTAGGGCTGAGCCAAAGCCAATGTACTATTGTAATATAAGATTGTGGTTATTTATCTGCATGGATGTTTTTGGGTGGGTGTTAGGTGCACTGTAAATACTTTTCTACTCCCTGAGTGTGCTATAACCTGTTTGCCTTCATGACACCCATAAAAAAAGTCAACATTTTGGGCACAAGGAGCTGCACTGATAGCTGAATAAGTATAACTGATAATAAGAATGTATATATTATATTTTTGAGCAACCATTTATAACTGTGATAGCAATCAGTATCTCTTCTCAAAAATCACCTGTTATTTGATGGTTTATTTAATACAATGTTATCAATCAGCTTTCCAAGCATATTTGGAAACAATAGGAAAAAAAAGCTATATTGTGGATCTTGCTGTTGTTACTCACAGATCTTGATGCCATTTGGGTTTTGCCTTTTTTTTCTTTATATGTTCTCTGTGTACTTCACACATATATTTGTAACTCTGTCACCTATTGCATTAGTTTTCCCAGTACTTTTCCATGTAGGCGAAAAGACAAAACAAATTCCAGAGCTCCAAGCCCCAGGAATGCAAAGCCCCTGTGCTATCTTGGTTCTTCCTGGGAACCATGGTTGAGAACAACTCTTCCAGATACATTCTCCTGGACAAAGTACAACTAGTGCTGAATGGGGGGCTCCAGAAAAGGGGCTTGACCTGGGAGAATTGCATCACTACTTGTTCTCCTAATTGGTGCTTTTCATCAATTATTCTAATTTCCTAAAACCTATAAATATGTACTCATCCCTGTAGGGGTGGGCTTTTGTGGACATCTTTCCATAACTGCTCCTGAAGGCCTTCAAATAAAGATCCCCTTTCATATTACCTCCTCACGAAAATTATCTCGAGTTTCGTTTCCAGGTTGGGAAAAAGGCTGTGGGAAAAATCTGAGGCTTAAACCTGCTATGATCTGTTGGTCTGGAAGGTTTTGACTAGCTTTTTCTTTCTGTATAGGTGATAATAGAGGTGACACTGGAATACCCCTGTAGTGTGGTGGTTACTTATGTCAAACAAGATGTCAAAGCTTGTGTACTTCACACAATTTTACTGCCCCTCATTTGCAATTTCTTTAGCAAGTTTATTCCTATTTGCAGAGTAATGCAGGTCCATAGATACTTCCTGTTATGAATTAAGTGAATATGTTTTTGTGAGCTGAAGATACTCTGTAATAAGTAGACATCTCTTTGAACACTGCATATCTTTGCTGGCTGTGTAAAATGGTATTAGGACCAAAGCCTTTAGATTTAATTCTGGTCTTTTGTAATCCAAAGCTGCAGATTTTTTAAAGGCATAAATGTGTCATTAAGTGAATTTCCATGGGATTTAAACAAGTCTGCTATTTGGTCTTTGAAAATCTAATTCTGGGATCTGGATCTGATCATGAAAACAAAGGGGTTTTTTTGTGTTTCTCTTGTTAACACATTAGCAATCTGTCTTATTTTATATATTATCCATGCATATAGAAACACAACAAAAGCAATAACATTACACATAAATGCCATTATTGTTGATAGTATACCTAGATAATCCTGCAAATGTTTTTCCAATGCAGTGTATAGGTCAGAGAAGATAATAAACTTTTCTCTTACACTTGTGAAATTAACTTTATGCATTACAGTGTAAAACTCAATGCCGTTGTGAAATATGCTAATTAGCTATCATAAGTGCCACCAAAATACTTTCTGTGGCTGCTTTCACACTATATTAGCATACCTCTAGAACCAGAGTGAGAATTAAGACACGATTACAGGCTACAAAATTATTCTGCAGTTGCTGTGGCATAACATACTCTGAGTTTCCAGCTGGCAACACTCAAGAGTGTTTTGAGAGGAGAAGAAACGCTGCTGACCTAGTCCAATTTCTGTGATCAGTCCTGTATTTTTGTTCTCTGAAGTATCAACATTACATGTTAGAGAGGAGTGAACGTTTTAATCAGATTTTTTGTATCAATCCAAATGCTCTGCTTTAAAAAAACATACCCCTTTAACACTGAGAATTGTAACCCAAAATGGTAAAACTATTCCCTGATATTTCTATGCAAGTCTCCTACTGGAAAGGAAAGAACATGCTCTTGACTTTTGAACATACACAGCTTTCTGGAATTAAAGTGCTGGCTGTGTGAGACAGATACTGCAGCTGAAATTGTAAGTGAGATTTCTTCCTCTGTGTCCTACTTACAATGAATTCTCCTCATGGGATGTATTTGTAGTAATAGTCCCACATGATAATTTTGATAAAACTATTTTTGTGAGCGAGAGTAAATGTCTTGTGTTGGTGTATTTTTTAAGTCATGCAAGCAGCCTTGAAATTGTTGCTGGGGAGAAAAGAGCAGACAGATTCTGTTTATTTTAAAATTCAGCATAATGCTCACCCTGTTATCTATTTCCTGTGGTCACAATTAATAACTGGCCTTCATGGCAACATCATCCATTTGTTGCATTGCTGAATGTTCCATGGCAATTCCACCAGAAGCAAAGGCCAAGAACCAAGTAAGTTTTAGATAATGAGCAAACAGTTATAATCATCCCTTGGGATAAGCTTCATCTCTTGTTATCTATAAATCTCAACAGCAAGCCATCCTCTGCAGACCAAAGAATAATTATTGTGAGGTGGGTCCCTTTCCCTGGAATTCTGTTTCTTCTGTTCGTGCTTGGTCAGAGCATGTAAGCACTTCCCCTGACTCCCACTGCACCATCTCTCTGCGTCCACTTCCTTAATTCCAGATCATCCTTTGCCCATACAGCAAAAAAAGCATTGTCACCCAGCTCCGTGGGGTACTCCTGGTGTTAAAACATCCCAACTGATCTTCCAGCAGTACTTCACCCCTTCCCAAGCAAGAAAGAAAGGAGCAAGCAGGGATGGGGAATGGGGGATGTATTCAACATAGGAAAAGAGGGAGTCTGCTGCTGATTGAACTGATTGCCATCTGACTAAGAGGGGATATGAGTAAAGAAAATGTGGCTCACCATGTATTAATTCCAGGTGTATTAGCTCCTGAAGTGGAGCTGTACTCCAAGGGAGAGATACCAGTGCTCTTCTGAGGCCATCTTAACTTGAAAAGCAACTGGACCACTGTCTTTAAAGACCCGTAGAGTCTCATTTTCCAAGTGTCTCTTTCAGCATCTTTATAGTTTTGTCCCCACAGGTTTGTGGTAATCAATCTGTGTATTAACTAATATTCTAACTATGCGCTGTGTGAAACAACTTCCTTTTTATTTGTCATTGACTTGCTGTCTGATGAATTGATTTTGTGCTTTCCAGCTCTTGTTTTGTGACATTGGTAACCATCCTACAGGAACCTCTTCCATGCCACTCACAACACTGTAGATTTTCATAACCCTGCTCATCTCTCTTTCCAGGCTGAAGACCTGTCATGTCTTTGGTCTCCTGATGTATGGAAAATATATCCTACCCCAGTCTTGACAACATTAATCACATTCCCTCCTTTTCTTGCCCTGACAATAAGAATATTTTTATGCATATTCATACACTAAATTTGGGGATAAAACACATAATTTACCTTGGTGAAATGCACTTGCTGCAGCACAGGTTGGTATGAAAAGTGTCTGTTGCTTCATATAAGGCAGGCTGGGAAAACATTTGACTTCATGCAAATCTTCAAAGCCCGCAAAACCACCTTAAATATCTTCACTGGTTATTTGATTTCATAATTACGTGCAAGTGTGTTTGCAAAATAATAACTATCTTTCAAGCCACTTGTTTAGATCTTTCCTTCACTCATGTTACTTTTGTACTACCTCACAATTAGAATTGACAGTGGAAAATCAATTGGAAAATAGAAAAGTCTCCAGAATGGGGGATTTGCTATCTTAAAAACTAATTGTGAAATCACATCTAGTTTTTCAAACCATTGTGACTGGAGAAATGTGTTTATCGGTGGCACCTGTCTTTCAAGAAATAGTTGTGTACTTCACTACAGTGTATGTAATGTATACCTATTTAATAAAAGAAACTGAAAGAAGCCCTTAAAAATGGCTAGGAGTTAGGAAGCATGGGGCTGAGTCAGCCAGCTCTGTGTCTAGCTTCAGGACCACAAGACTGCCACCCCAGCTAGACTATTCAGGTTTGCTGAAGTCTTGTTCAACACCATGCTACTGCAGTAACTCTGGGAGGCAGACTAGAACTGTGGTGGTGGTCTATAGTTCCTCCATGCATTCAGTTCACCAGGTCACATGCAGCTAGCTAAATTTTCCTTATGCAATGCTGAGTTGTGCATGGAAATACCTACATGCACATGTGTCTGCATTCCAAGTGTCTTCTGCAATTTAGGGCAATGTCCTTAGTGGTGCATGTAGTAATTGGGTCACCACTGATTCAGAGATTTAATTAATAACTATTCATAGAAATGGAAAAGGTGTCAAAAAAAGATACCATGTCTCTCACTGCACAGTACTTTGAACTGCTGCTTAGGGTGCCTTGCTTTCAAATTCCCTGCTGCATTCAGATTCCCCTTCAAAAAAATTTGATCTAGACATTACACATTTTGGATATGTGTACTACCTCCTGTACATTTGAGTAAAGAGATGACACCTACAGAAACTCTCCAGTGGTTTCATCTGTTGTGTTTCATTTCAAGCCCTTATGAAGAAAGGAAAAAAATTACATTAACTTTGAATAAAGCAAATCATGTTGGATTTTATTTTGGTAGTGGATAACAGTTTGCTGAGGTTTTTATCCTTGCAATTCAGC